GTTTCTGCCGATTTTTTTTTTTTTTTTTTATTAAATGCAATTGTTATCTAAAATAATTATCATGCAGATGGATGGGACAACCAAATCAGCTTTTTTGTGTGTTTGCCAAAAATTGGCTCTTGGCACCTTTATTAGAATACACTGTAAAAGCTTCAAGATTTGTGGCTGTTTACCTGGTCTGTGCTTGGAGTGTCTGTGATGTCGTTCATACTCCTGCTTTGTGCATGGCCTACAGGGGAAACGTACATACAAAAAGTAAAAAAAAAGTTTAAAAAGTTACATTTAAAGTGACGCTAAACTACGGAGTTATATCTTAAACATGCATTCAAGTAGGTTTGGTAGGTGGTGCAGTCAATGGGACCAAAACTGCATGCCGAAATCTTGCAGCATAGTAAAATTCCCCATGGTATTAAAAGAGACACAGGCATTCAGATGGCAGCAGTAATTCCGAACACCTGCAAACCATCGATCAACCACGCTCTGAAAAGTGATCTGCCACGGAGAGCAATAAGACCCCATTCACACTGAGCGTCATGAAAAATCGCATGTTTTTCTGCGCGATTTTGAGCTGAGCTACATTGAGCTACATCGAGCTACATTGCACATTTATTCACACTACGTAGCACGACTTTTGGGAGGAACTTCGTCGCTGCTACATTGGGCTGTAACCAATCAAAAGTGGTCTTGATGTTACATCATTCCTTCCTTCCATATTGCTGTGCAAAAATAACACTTCTGTAGTGCGATATCGCGCAACAGGGTCGTGCAATATCGCCGGTAATGCACGATATGGAGCGACACCATTGCCTATTGGGGCCAAATCGCGCGACATCCTCCAAAAAATAGGTCATGTACGAGCTACAAGCTTGAGCAACGAGCTACAGGCGACATTGAGCTGTGAGATGTGAACAGCTCCATTGGAATGCATTGGACAAGCTACACTGAGCGAAATTTGCGTGGAAATATGCGTGATTTTGGAGCAGAAATCACGCGAAAAACCGCTCAGTGTGAACGGCGTCTTAAAGTTTGCCACCCGTGTATGAATAAATTGATACTAAACTCAGGAGGTAAATCTTAAAAATCTTAATCTTAAAAATGCATTCAAGTACCTTAACTATTAACAAAACTGTCCCTTATTTGTGTATCACTCAGCTGTAGAATCATCAAATCATCTCTGACTTGGTGCTGATACTGTCCTTCCTTCGGGAGGGGGGCTACTTTTGTTCCTCATGGTCCCTGTGTGTGCTGTAAAGTAGTCACCACTCCAAACTTGCTCCTGTGATGGTCTACAATCTCATGTTTAGTTTACTAATTTGTATTGAGATTGTAGTCCATCACAGGAGTGAGCTTGGAGTGGTGGCTACTTTACAACAAACACAGGGACCATGGGGAACTAAAGTAGCCCCCCTCCGGAAGGAAGGACAGTGTCAGCACCAAATCAGAGATGATTTGAGGATCTATAGCCGAGTGATACACAAATAAGATATAACTTTGTTAATTATAATTAAGGTACTTGAATGCATTTTTAAGATTTAACTCCTGAGTATAGTGCCACTTTATTCACACGGGTGGCGGACCTTTACTTCTCTCCGTGGCAGATCACTTTTCAGAACGTGGTTGATCGATGGTTTGCAGGTGTTTGGAAGGCATTACTGCTGCCATCTGAATCCCTGGGTTTCTTGTTTTGATCCCATGGGGGATTTTGAATTGCAATACCATGCTGCAAGCTTTTGGCATGTAGTTTTGGTCCCATTGACTGCACCACGTACCAAACGTGACGTGCTTTATAAAATTTGCCATGCCGGTGAAGCAAAGCATCGCAGCGACGGCATGTATACACACCTAAGTAGCCACCATGTTAGGTTTTAGGTGGATGTTCGAGGGCACAGATCAAGTGCCTGCTTTTACAGCTTCTTTTCCACCCATGTGATTTTAGTCAAAGGATTGTCCATTCACAATTGTCAATTTTAGCCAGATGTGTTTTTCATTGAAATCAATGGAAACTCATCAAAATGCATGACTTGTGCATGTTCACATGTATTGACATGCATTATGATGTGTGATGACGTGTTTTGATGTGTTTCTTTGGACTTCAAAGGCAAGAATGGACAAGTTTAAATGGGCCTGAAAGAATGAATAGAGTGTCTCACAGAAATGTCCTGGACGCTTAAGGGAAATCCTGTAGTTTGTAAAATATTGAATGTTTAATTTCTCAGACGGTGAATCAGTTCGAATTATAACTTTGATGGAATTTTACTAAGGGGAAGAACAGTATATACTGTATATATGCTGAGGTAACTTGTGCATATAAAAGGTTGTGCAATTGGCTCCTGTCTAAATTGGCCCTGTGTGTGTGCATGTGAGATAGGGACCTCAGATTGTAAGCTCATCGAGGGCAGGGACTGATGTGAATGAACAGAATGTAAAGTGCTGCGTAAATTGACAGCGCTATATAAATAAATAATAAATATAAAATGCATACGCAATCTTCCATAGTTGGAATTTTGTCTTGTTCTTAGATCTTCTGTGGATCGATGAAGATGAGCACCAGCAGGAACACTTGGGGCAGGAATTCGATCTGCAAATAAAAATAACATTTGCTGTCCTTTACTACAAACAAACAAGAGAGATCCTGTGCAATAATAATAAGTGCGACTGTTTTGCTCAATAATAATTGAGCGACTTTGACAAGAGCCAGATTGTGATGGCTAGACGACTGGATCCGAGCAACTCCAGAACTGCAGCTCTTGTGAGATATTCCCGGTCTGCTGTAGTCAAGACCTACAAAAAGTGGCCCAAAGAAGGAAAACTGGTGAACCGGTGAAAGGGTCATGACTGGCCAAGGCTCATTGATGCACATGGGGTGCGTAGGCTGGCCTGTGTAGTCCGATCCGGAAGAAGAGCTACTGCAGCTCAAATTGCTGAAAAAGTTAATGCTGGTTCTGATAGAAAGGAGTCTGAACACACAGTGCATCACAGTTTGTTGCGTACAGTGCTGCATAGGTGCAGACCGGTCAGGGTGCCCATGCTGACCCGTGTCCATCGCCTAAAGCACCTACAATGGGCATGTGAGCATCAGAACTAGACCACAGAGCAATGGAATAAGGTGGCCTGGTCTGATGAATCAGGTTTTCCTTTACATCATGTCAATGGCTGGGTATCTGTGTGTCGCTTACCAGGGGAAAAGATGGCACCAGGATGCACAATGCTTTGAGCAATGTTCTGCTCAAAAACATTGGTTCCTGCCATTAATGTGGATGTTACTTTGACATGTACCACCTACCTAAATATTTTTGCTGACCAAGCACACCCAATCATGGAAATAATATTCCCTGATGGCAGTGGCCTCAGTCAGAAGGATAATGTGCACTGCAACACTGCAAAAATGGTTCTAGAATGGTTTCAGGAACACAATGAAGCATTTGAGGCATTGACTTGGCCTCCCTTTTCTCCAGATCTCAATTCAATTAAGCATCTGTGAGATGTGCTGGAAAAAAAGTCAGATCCATGGAGGCCCCACATCACAAAGTACAGGACTTAAAGGATCTGCTACGGATGGCTTGGTGCCAGACACCAAAGCCTACCTTCTGAGGTCTACGGAGTCCTTGCCTCAACATTTCAGGCCTGTTTTGACAGCAAAAGGGGGGCCCACTTAATATTAGGTAGGTGATCATAATGTTATTGCTGATTGGTGTAAGGCATAACAGCAATGTACTATGGTAGATAATAGTCAGATCTGTTGCTACTATATGATACTGGTATCACACAGTTACCCTACAGAATCTCCATGTACTGACAGTGTCAGGAAATGTACTGCAGAATAACACCATAGTGGATTACTGATGCGCCTTATACTCAATAGTATATGTGAGTGCATTCATTATTTTATGCACCCATTACACTCACTTAGTTAATGCACTAGTGGTGTGCCCAATGTTCTATATTTTTGTTCCAAGTATAGGTTTCCTCCTTCTACAGCAAGACGTACTGGTTGGTTAATCCAGTATGAATATGTAGCACCCTGTTGGAAAGGGTGCTATTAAATCTAGTGTTTATCACATTGTATGTGGTCTGATACTAATCTGTAGTGTGGTTCACCCCCTAAACAATCTATCATTGCTTGCCATCTGTCTGCTGCAAAAGGTACTACAAAGTGTGCCTTGGTGATAGAACAAGAACGGCCAATGGGATTGCTAGGAAAAGATATCCCTTCCTAGCCAATCACCGTTGAAGGAGCCAGTGGTGCATGCTGGGAGAGGAGACAAATATTCAAATATTCGGGGTGGGGGAGGGGGGGGTTACTGCGCTGGACTGCCTGAGCTGACCAAGCCTCAAAGCCTGGGGACTAGCCTTGGAATCACAAGCAAAACAAACGACAAACGCACTCAACAATTTGTTATCAGTTATACAGTAAGGTGCACACGAAATGGGCTTTGAACAGTGGTACAGTAGAAAGGCATCATGGCACACTCACAAACCAGCATGTAAAACAACTTGTCTCACCACTAAGGACAATGACAGAGGTTTGGATACACGTCTTCTGCAAAGGATGTGTAAGCCGCACTGCCGCGCCAAGGCATCTCTTATAGTGCGGTCCTAACTCTAGACTATGAGAGTCTCCATCTTGGCAACACGAAATGGACTTTGAACAGTGGTACAGTAGAAAGGCATCATGGCACACTCACAAACCAGCATGTAAAACAAAATAAAGACAGAGATCTGTAACTCTTACCTCAAGTAATGCAGTGTCAGGTGTTTGGGCCTGCGGTGCACAGAAGCTGTAGCCACACTCTCTGAGAAGCCATGGAGTCTATATCTCCCTGGATGATCCTAACCCTCCTCTACCTCTCTCCCTGAAGTTCTTCAATAAATGTTTCAAGCATCACAACTACAGTTTGGACCTCAATTCAATCATTCAACAGAAGGGCAGTAAGTGCTGATGTGCCAAGCGAGCAACAATACACCTAGATAAGAAGAATTGGAGCTGTAGTAACCCATAGCAACTGATCCTAGCAACTCAAGGTGAGCTGGTTTGCTGTGGATCCATAGTAGAGTTTTCTAATAGAGGAAAGGCAGGGAGACCCATTAGTTCAGTTTATTGTAGATCACCCCTTCAGAGCCACCAGTGGTGTTATCCTATATTGGGGTAGCGCTGACCGTGGAAGGGGGAGTGCTACATGTCTTTCCATGAAGTTACCCCCTTTACTGCATTTTTTAAACTTACAAATGTTCAGTAGGTACATTATGAAAAATTAGGCAGTCACAAGCCTAGCTTTAAACAGCAAAAATCATTTATAATAACAGCATCCTATCAATGTTTTCCAGTTACTCACTAGTATTAGAGGAGACAGTCTTTCCAATGTCCGCCAAAGACCTGTGCATGGGTTTCTTGGTTTGGTGCCTGTGTTTTCTCAATAGGACAAAGCTAATTTTCTCTCGGAGTTCAGGCTTGAGTATTCCATCTTCCACTTGCTTTTCGATGATGTCATCTGTAATAGAACACATCAAGTTTGCTCAATGTTTACTCAGTTGTCGGCCCTAAACACTGTGGGCCTGGCTTACTAGCATGGTGTTTGGTCAATTGTTTTACATTTTCTTCTTAATGGTTACAGAATTATATCTGTATACTTATAGGCTCAGAATGACAATTTTAGTTTGACTCATTCACGCTTAAACGTTAAAGAAGTACATTGCACTACATGATGCTGGTGTATGGGAATGAGCCCTTGTGCTTCAATGGTTGAGTTTAAATTTTTTTGGTTGCATGCAGTGGGATGTAGCAGCTCACTCGCAACCCAAAGACACCTTAACCTCCACACTGAAGCTTTGAGGGCTGCAGTTTGCAGAACCCAGATGTGAATGAACACTTACAGTCTTCTTCAAAAATTGATTTGAATTTAACCACACCTCCCAACTTTCTGAGTTGAAAAAGGACACCATCCAGCACAATGTATTTAGGTAATAGACACATCCCTGACATGCTCCCAGTTATGCGGACCATTAAGATTCTATACGCCAAAAATGATTGGTAAAGCCCAGAATTGTTGTTTAACACAATTATTTTTCCTGTATACCAGCTATTTGAAATAGCAAACAAGATAAGTAAGTGATAAGATGAGGGACAACCCCACCGAATGAGAGACACTTGGAAGATATGCCATATGCCATTCATTCTACAATTAAATGACAATGTTAAGCAGGTGTCTGGAAAAGATTACTTTATTTTGCAAGTCGAGCTTAATTTATTGTTTGTTTACAAGGCTAAAGGGACATTTATTGGTTGGTTCTTGGTCTGAATGTAAGCATCTAGGCTGATACGATGACATACCTACAATCTGTGGGAGGGAATAACCATCTAAGTCAAGTAGCACAGTTCCAGTCTGAAGACATGTACGTAGCTCGAATAGGCTGTGAAGGGACAATGTTGACACATGTGGCTTACTCCATCTTTCTCCTCCTTCTTCAACTTTCTCCTCAAACTTTAGCCACCTGTAAAAAGGGTCAACAATTATAACATCACAAAATACTGTATGGTGAATGTAGTATTTATTTGCAAATAGAAGTTCTCAACAGCATGAAGAGAAAATGCGGTTTAAGGTTGTTTAGTGCCTCTTACTCTACAGGAGATCATTAGTGCAGCACGGCCCAGTGATTGCGTAATGTTAATTTTGTTTTCATAGTCATTAGAAATGTTTCTGGTGTTATTATTACAAGTTCAAAAACGTATTTATAAGTTTTACAACTTACATACGTTTTTCTTATTGTTTTAATTATGTGCTAAACTCCAGTTTGATACAGGACTTACTCTGTAGACTCACCCCCTCTTCAAGCCATCACCAATAATTAAACCATGATGATAATTTTTAAAGTTAAAGACACAACCATTTCTCAAAGTCAGTGCTGGGTCGTCAAGGTCTGAGCTGGGTCTTCCATGTCAGAGCTGGGTCCTCAAGGTCAGAGCTGGGTTTTCCAGGTCAATGCTGGGTTTTCCAGGTCAGAGTTGGGTCCTTAAGGTCAGAGCTGGATCTTTCAGGTAATTGGTGGGCCTTCCTGGTCAGAGCTGGGTCTTCAAGGTCAGAGCTGGATCCTCAAGGTCAGAGCTGGGTCTTCCAGGTCAGAGCTGGGTCTCCAAGGTCAGAGCTGGTTCTTCAAGGTCAGAGCTGGGTCTTCCAGGTCAGAGCTGGGTCTCCAAGGTCAGAGCTGAGTCTTCAAGGTCAGAGCTGGGTCTTCAAGGTCAGAGCTGGGTCTTCTAGGACAGAACTGGGTCCTTCAGGTCAGAGCTGGGTCTTTCAGGTCAGAGCTGGGTCCTCAAGGTCAGAGCTGGGTCCTCAAGGTCAGAGCTGGGTCCTCAAGGTCAGAGCTGGGTCTTCAATGCCAGTGGGCCTTTAAGTAAAAACCATTGCTACCCCTGTTGGCATGCCACTACCTGCATTAAAAAAAATTCTCCTTTAAGCTGATTGGCTCCTGTAGACAACTCCTCTGCTTGCCTTGTATTTCTATATGTAAGACAAGTGCCACTGGATGGAGGAAATTAGAAAACTATATTGCATTACATTCCTTTTTTTGGGTAATAATTATTGCAATGGACACTGCGTATGTGCAACGTGTAGTAGTTAATGACAACCTGCTAGGAATTATCACTTGTCTGATATCACTACAGTGTTTAGATCTTATTGGCTACTATGCATTGCAACACTTAAGCTGGCCATACACTGTAATATTTTCAGGTTGAATGAAAACAATATAACATATTCTTCCATCAACGCTTATGAGCATTGTATTTTGACAGCGGCCAGCAAGGACTGCTTTTTAATGATTAATGATAGAGCTTTTTTTGAAAAAGCAATGATGCTGTATATTGTGACATGTCAAAAATGTATTCCTGACATGTAAAAATACTGAAAGGTCCACTTTAAAATAAATGCCTAGTATGTCATACAGCACAGCCAAATCTTGTAAAACTGACACTGCACATTCACTTGTATTTTTTGTACAGCTCATTTCCTTTAATAAAAATAATCCTGCTAAGATTGTTTTTCTCTCTCTTGATTTACTAGAAATTGCATGACTTGTATTATGGATTACTGCATGAAACAAGGGGAGGCTTGAAGAAACTCTGTGTTTCTCAGGAAGACTGATTTTTAAGCAGATGTACAATCAAATAGCTACCATAATCCTAATCTTCCTAAACATTTAAGGCCTATTACATGTTGGTGCCTCCATCTTGACACGTAGGTCACTACCAAGAGCTCTGCAGTATGCAGGAAAGGTGGGAGAGGGATAGAGAAACTGCAAGATACAAATGAGGAGTGGGAGTCAGGTGCAGCCAAACCTAGACCTATAGCTGGATGAGGCCCGGTCTTTAATCTCTAGCTCTACCTATTGAATGTACAACCCAGTGGTACAGTATTTAGCACTGTGACTTCATAGTGTCAAGATTATGCCCTCTCTTGACCCCATTTCAACAGAGATTACAAGTTTTCTATGGTTTTCTTCATACATCTTAAAAAGATATTGATAGCTCATAGTCGAACTCCAGCTCACAGAGCAGAGCAACCAATAAGGGATTGCTATGAGTGGATATCCCTCTCCAGCCAATCATTGTTAGACAATGTTGGGGTAGACCATGTGAGCTCTCTCTTCCTCCCCCGGGCCCTGTCTGTGGGGAGGCTGCTTTGGACTGTCTGAGATGGCTAGGCCTGAAGCCTGGAGAGTTGCCGCATGATTGCACTGGCGCCTTATGATTGGAGGCCCAGTGGTTTCTACTGATGACAAGGACTAGTGACGTCTACCTCAAGTATTGCTGTGTCAGGTATTCTATCTGCTGTGCAGGAAGCAGTAACCTTACCACACTCTGCAAGGTAATGGAGTCTACATCTGCCTGGAGGATCCTAATCCTCCACCTCTCTCCCTGAAGTTCTACAATAAAGGTTCTAAGCATTATATCTACAGTCTGAACCTCACTTCTGTTGATTACCCGAGAGGGCAGTAAGTGCTGATGGGCAAAGCGAGTGAAATTACCCCTAGACGTGAAGATTTCAGAATTGCGGTAACCTATAGCAACTGACCCTAGATGCTCAAGGTGTGCTGGTGTGCCGTGGATCCATTACAGAGGTTTCTTACTGAGAAAATACAGGGAGACCCATGAGTTCTTTTACTGTAGATCAGCCGTCCAGAGCCAACGGTAGTGATATCCTACATTTGGATATTGGTGACCGAGTAAGGTGTACGCTACACCACTATCTATATTGTATGTCTGTCTATGTTCACATTAGGGACAGTCTTCCTTATTTCCTGTTTGGTCACCAGAGTGGGACGTTATGGGGTATCTAAGACAGCAAAACAAACTTGACAAACGTTCTAACTTTCCCAACCATGTCCAAAACGTAAAGATTTTAGGCTGGAGCTCCAATGACAACTACTTAATGTGAGCCTGCATTGTGTAAGTGTCTCTGTGACTGTGCTTTTGGGCACAAAATTGTAAGTTTAATGTGAATGGCGAGCATGTAAAGTTGTAGGTATGAAATGAGATAAATGAATGAAAAAGTCCTGAATTGGGACTCCCAACCATCCAACATTTTTTTTCTCAGTTCTAGGGAAAGGATAGAACACTCCTGGTTCTCACATACTTCTTGTGGTGGTTATCAAAAAGGATAAGAACCTCTTGCGATGATAAGGTCTGATGAACCCCAAACTGAGTGGGGAGAATGGGGAAGTCGTGCTAAATGCAGCGCCTCCCTTGTTTTTAACTCAGCAACAGAACAATTAGACTGAACAGTCATTTCCAGACACAAATCAGGGCATCATAAAGCCCAATAAACTTAATTAGCAGAAGGTCATAAAACTTCTAGCAGTATCATAAATCCTGTTTAGTCCAGGATCTGCATAGCCTGGTAAGAAGCTGGCTGTAAATGGCTAATTGGTTGTCATAAACAACACATAGAACAGACTGAAAACCCAGAGAGTTTTTATAAAGGCCTATCGTAAATAGTCATTAAAGAGTCCAAGAAAAGTTTGAATCATATAAACATCCTCGTCTGTTTTTTAAAAATACCAGAACAAAACTCTGTACAATCTTCATAGCTCCAGTTATGATGACCTACTAGATTGTAGGCTCTCACGAGCAGGGCCCTCCTAACCCAATTGTACTGAAATTATATTGTATTGTAAATTGTATTGTAACTGTACTGTCTCCTTCATTTTGTAAAGCGCTCTGTAAATTGTTGGCGCTATATAAATCCTGAATAATAATATTAATAATAATGATGCAATTGGTTTCACAGAACATGGCTAGGCTAATGATTAAGGAAGTAGCAATCAGTTTGATACCAAATATGCCTATGCTATAATTGGTCTAATCAGTTCATTAAATCTCCTGTGATTTAGACATCCGATTCATATGATGTTTGGTCTGTTTCAAATCATAATTCCATTCTCCTTGATAACATGTTGATTATCAAACTGTAAAACCTTGTCAAAACTGGAGAAGAGCAACTAAGCACAAAAAAGTGAAGATGGGGCCAATAGCAACCAATCAAGACCTACTTTTCTTTTTACGGAAAAATGAAAAGAGAATTCTGATTGCCACTATGGGCTCAATTCTTGTTTTGTATTGATTTTTCTTTCTCCAGTTTTAATGCATCAGCCATTATGTCAAGTACAAATGTTACTTTTAAAATATCAGTTCTATAAAGCTAGACAGTGTAATCACTATATGCGTTCTAATGTGGTTGTGGGGCTGTGACGATGTGCCTGTGAAAATGTTGAGTAGGCCAATTTTTTTTATCAACCTTTGTATTAAGAACCATGGGTTGCCAGCTGTGGTCTGGGTAAGTTCAGTGCTTATACATGCCTTCACTTCTCTGCAGCCACCCTCTCCCACCATGGAGGACAACGTGCAATGGCCAGCGTATTCATATTATAGATCTGTTGTTATGGTGATTACAAGATTGCAGCACTTTGGGAATAAAGATAAACTCATAAAGAGCCATATAAAAATATTGTGTTATTAGGATCCATCGGTGCTGTGTGCATGCTGAGGGCTTATTGATAATCACAAAAGATGGTATTAAAGGGTTAGCGCTGTTTGTAATTGGTTTTGGCAAACCACACAGAGCGGCACCATGTTTATAGAGACTGCCTGATGTTAAATCTACCCTAATAAACAGAGCTGATGGAATATTAACCCAATGTGTGATCTAAAAAAAAAGGACTCTTTGACTTGTTTGCAATCACTAGAAGTCGGGTAAAGCAACTTATCTAGAGCTGTATTTCTCAATCAGTAAATCTGCTGTGGTAGGGCAGCGGGGGATCAGCTGCCAGGGAAATGGTGGTGAGCACAATAATGCTTTACTCAGTAGATATGTGTCCTTGAGAGAGAATTCCTTGTGGATTTTAGGTTTTGACTTGTTAATCTGCTCACTTATTAAAGCGAGCATTTCTCTGGGCTCGTGTTATGCTTTCATTAGGGTTTAAAGAAAGATTTGCTTTGGCCATCTTAATAAAAAATGCTTGGTGTTGTTTCATTAGTGGGCTAATTTGTTTCAGGTTGACACATATTACTTATTGCTGCACCTCCTCCTCCTCTAATTACACACCCTATAATACATCTGGGTTTAAATATGCTTTGTGAGCACTGCTCCAGGCTGACCCTGTGCTTGCCTGTGACTATCGGGTGCTATTGTGGCTGGCAAGGGGCTCGCTTCAACTACCACCTTACACAACCAAACATTGCAAAGAACGAACTGCACTCAGCCTTCCAGTATGTACACAGCTTTATTGTACTCAACACTACATGGATCCACCAAGACTCATTTACACATTTCACCCAATAGGTAGCCCCGTGATTAAGCCCATGGAGTAAAATGTGGCAAAGACGGTACCTTACATGATAAAGTGTAAGTGTGGATGCCAAGGTGTTCACATTTACTCCCATCTTACACAGCCAAACCATGCAAAGAATGCATCTGCACTCTTTCTTTCAGCATATATACAGCATTATTGTACTCAAGAGTATATGGCTCCACCAAGATTTTACTCTTTGACAAAGTTCCTCCCTAGCTTTCCATCCCTTGAATAATTCTGAACACAGACTGGGTCCACACCTGACCACATGTAGGCATCAGGCCTGGTCAGAAAGATCACAAATAACACACCTCCCGAGGTAGGAGGCCCAGGGGAAAAAGAGACTTTTACATGGTCAGAACCAGATATTTATGTCCTCTCCCAGCACACACCACTGGCCAGGAAACTCCCAGTAATTGGCTGGTGAGACATAGCATTCACAGCAGAGATACATAGATATCCACAGCATTCCATTAGGGGTTGCTCTGGTCTATGGTGAGACTACACCCAGCGGCAGGCAGATGTAATCAATAACAGAATCGTTAGGGAAAACCAAATGACCATAGACTATACAATCAGCCAGATTGAATGCAGTCTCAGCAAACTAAATTCAAGTAGTCACCCCACTTAAGGCAAGGTGGCTACAGAGGGTAGCCATGTGATCAAGCCCATTGAGTACAATGCACCATGGAGGTAACTTGCATGCTAAAGTGTAACTTCTAAACTTCTAAACAAACATTTTGTCTTTTGTTTTTGTTTCAGACAGAATGGGACAGTGTTAAAACCTTTTATTAGAACCTGCGTTATTCTCCATTGGGGGTAAATCTCAGTATCAATAAAGAGTCGACAGAAGCTCTGTGAGGTTTTTCTGGTAATCCATTGTCTGTTTGGAGATTCTTCTAATGTATTTTTCCTTACAGGAACAAAGAATAAAAACCAAACGTTGTTAAGGCTTATCAGATTATCATAGGGCACCAACAATGGCAGCAGTGCAGCTGCTCTCTACAAAAACCAGTACCACTTCCTTAAAAAGGGGACTCAGATTTGAGAGTCCATGTATATACAGTCTAATGGGAACTTCAGACAAACATCCAGGAGTCCAAAATCATTTAATAATACAATTGTCTCACAGCAGGACGACATAAAACAGCCAACGTGGTTTGGCCCCCGAAATGTGTTGGTACTTTTTTGTCATCCTGCTGTGAAGAAATTTACAAAATTAAAAGATTTTAATTTTGGGTATGGGTATTATGTGTTTTTGGCTGGTGTCTTCATTGGACTGCAAATAATAAAACCAAGACAGTGGTTTTAGCTTTTTACCGCTATATCCAAAGCTAAAAATTGTTCTGTCTGGCACTTATAATTATGCACAAAACAGACACCCCAAGACTGACCTTACCGTAGGGAAACAATAGAACACCATCAGGAAATCCGGTTTGTCTATTTTTTTTTTCCAGAGATTGGTCAGGAGTGTCTGAACAATCTTTCAGTGACCATAGACATGCAATTATTTCAGCTCTAGTCATGTTATCTCTGTGTGGACTAAGCAGCAAATTGTATACACTACCTTGATGTTTCCTTCCATTCCAACTCATCACCATCATGCTGCAGTGTGTCCATCTCTGTGAACAAGGTGGGATTTGGAGTTTCATCATCATCTCCCAGAATGTACCTCAGCCGTTCGGCAGCCGGAGACACTAAGGAGGAAATAAACTCATTAGTATGTGCCAAAACATACTCTGGCTTTAGATGGCTCCAACTCTTTTAGCTTGGCTTCCCCAAACTTCATTTCTACATCAGCTGTTCATCTACTAGCATGGAGAAGGGAGGAAGGAGGAGGAGGGAGGGGAATGCCTTGCTTTGCTGTGCCGTGTGTTTTTGGAGACACACAGCCTACTAGCACACACCAGGGTGGCTCTACAGGACCCTGCAAGTGAAAGGAGCCACCCTAAAACAGGATATCAGGGACAGTGCTCAGAGGACCAGCTGATTCTACAGGAAATTACAACTTTTAAACATCAAGGAGCAACTTCCATTGTAATTGATTTCATCAGCATTTGTAATAGCTTAAAAATATTTTGACTTTAAGATCAATATTCTGTATCCCCACAATGGAGTGTATTTACATGATCCTGTACTGCATTGATCCCCTTGTTTGCATGTATTGCATGTTACTTGTCTTAAAACCCTTAATAAACACTTATTATTTAAAAAAAATATATTCTGCATCCCCGTAATGGATCTGAAGAGTAAAAACATTGTGAATGCTTGCTGAAGCCGATCCTCTTTAGGCCTCTTTCACATGGGCTGATCAGGAGAGGATCCAGGCGCGGATCCCCTCCCGATCAGAAAGACACGGTTCGAATGTCACCTTTGTGACATCTGTGTAAATCCAGTTTTTTTTATCCATCTAGTGATGGAGGACAAAAATGAAATGCCAGTCTATAGGGAATTGGATGTAAATGGACATGTGCCCGCCGTTTACATCAGATTACTCTCGATCTGGCATGATCAGGTACATCCAAACCAGAACACTGTTCTGTTTTTACAGACATGGCTGGAATCGGGGGTAACCAGGTGTAAATCGTCACCTGTCCATTTACACAAGGCTGCCCATAGACTTAAGGTGCCCATACACCTTACGATTATCGTACGATAATCGTATGCGATCGACTTTTCGAACGACAATCGTACGTGTGAATAGAGTGCCCGAACCGACATTACTGTACAATCGTACGACTTTTGACGGTCAAGCATGTTTGAAAACTTTGCTCGATCGTACGATTGTCGTAAGGTTGCTGGCATTTCCGTCCGTCAAAAGTCGTACGATCTACACTGCGCATGCGCGAACGAAAATACGACAAATCAATTACCGCATTTCGTCCAGGTGCTTTTCGTTAATTACGGCTAAATTAATCTTGCGATCATCGGGGCAGGATGGGGCTGCCGAACGAAAATCGTACGACTATTCGATCATCGGACGAAACGTTTTGTCCGATAATCGTAAGGTGTATGGGCACCTTAACATTGGGCATCCGATCGGGTCCGCCTGAAAAACTGACAGGTGGATCTGATCAGACCACCCCGTTTGAAAGGGGCCTTGGACTTTTGTTTGGAACCTAAGATCAAAAAATGTCCATGTGTTTAGGGCCTCAACAGTTAAATGTATTTTAAAACACAATGAGGTTGATTTATTAAACCTCATTCATTCTTAAAAAGTGCCAGGAACACCAAGCACCTTTGCTTTCCCATTTTAGAACAGTTGTCACAGGGACAGGCCCGTTGCTTTGTTTACATTTAGTCTGTGTGCGGTCGTCACAATGTATAGAGCAAGTTTTCTACAGAGCAGGACTAAGAACAAGGAAGCCATCTGCACCATATTACTGTTTGATTCATAGGCAGTGCTTTGCTAAGGGAGTCCTCTTTTCCACTTAGCCAAGTAAGCAGGTGTTCACTTTGAAAACCAAATCATATGCAGAGGAATATAAAAAACAAAAGGGATTACTTTTGCACACAATTGGATAATTGAAGTGAATATGGCTGCACTGAGCTAAATGAGAAAGGTATTCCTTTAGTAACAATGTCTTCTATACTGCACTCATTACAGTCCGGCAATTGTGGAAAGCAGATTATACATCTAGAAAGAACACTGATGAATTCCTTGTTGTCAGTCCTGGTCTGCAGTCATGCAGTCTCTACAATGTAAACTGTAGACTGCATCCGAACTGAATGTTAACAACAACAACATATACCAGGCTACATATGTGATGACAATTCTCCAGGCATAATGATAAAGATTCTTCAAAAGTAAGAGGTTATATTTGCAAATTTGCTGCTTGGTCTTACAATAATACATTTTAAAAAGCTAATGGGGACCACTTATAGACTCATGATGTTGTAAAATCAGTATGGTATTTCAACATCATAGAACAAATCCAGGTAAATGTCACAAGGTACTATTAGGTACATCATGGCCTGGATAAATGAGAACCTTCACAGGCATTGCTTACAGAACCTTTGCTGTATGATTGTGCAATGTGCTGTGTTGATGCACAAAGTGTAACCAATAGCCACCAAAAAGATTTCAGTATATGAGGAGTTAGGAATGAAAATTGATTTCTGATGGTTGCCGCTCAATGTCTATAGCTGTTTGCCTTACTAAATAAGTCCAAGTTTTCTATATAATAAGATGCTCTTGCAGTAGAGAGAACTTTACACAGAATTTAATCAAATCTTGAGGGAATCACTAATGACTTTGTGACTCATTACTAAATCCTGAAGTAACTTAATGAATTTGCCAAGCATGAGCAGGCACATTTTCAGAGTGCTGATATTATTAACTTGTTGTGATCTATGACAGTAAGGCTAGCGGGTTAAGCTACGGCATATTGACAGCTGCTAATAAAGAGTGATAGAAAGGAGAACATTTGAAATGGACCCAAAGCATGCTTACCCCAAAGCATGCAACCTAAGCAGACTAAACAGCTCTGTTGCTGATATGAACATTTTTTTTTTTTTTAAATGGACAGCTAACTTTTCTCCATGGCTGCAGATATATGCAAAGAGCTCAAAGCTCACACCCATGATGGACTACAGTCTCATGTTTCATTTACAAATTTGTATTTAAATTGTAATTCATCACAGGAGTGAGCTTGGAGCGGTGGCTACTTTACAACACACTCAGGTACCATGGGGAACACAAGTAGCCACTCAGCAGAAGGAAGGACAGTGTCAGCACCAATTCAGAGATGATTTGACAGTAAAAAGACAAATAAGATACATTTTTGTTAATAGTTGGGGTACTTAAATGCATTTTTAAGATTTAACTTCTGAGTTTAGTGTCACTTTAAGCCTCGAGCAATGACTGGACCATGGTTTTTGTTCACAAATTATGTACCAGTGATTGTTTTATCAAAAGGAAGGTTTGCTTTAAAGTTCAAACTCAAACCCCCCTCTCGTTCCTCCAGCCCATACCACCTCTTGACCAGTTTTCTCTTCAAAAAATTTAAAACGTCTTGTTAACTGTAGCATCCCTACGACAGTTGGAGTGCCGCTATTTCAAAATTAGTGGGCCACCCTGAGCTCTGGTTGTTATTGTTTTCTGCATTTGTTGGATTTCCTCTAAACTTAGGGCATTGTTTACTTCCGCCTTCTCCTGGGGATGGTTCTTCAGTGAATAGATTAATGAATATTTATTTCACCCTGGTCAACCACTGGGAGGTTTATTGCCATTGATGTGGCCATGAGAAGAAGATCAATTCCTTTTAGAAGTGTCTTTGCCTCCCAGGCTTTTCCTGGAAAGGAAGTCCACTGTGAGGAGCCTTTTTGCCTATGAGGCCTGCTTCATAGAGAGGTCTCATCAATTTCTGAATCCAGTCCCAGAGAATGCGAAATGGGCCTATGTAAGGACCTGAAAGATAGTAAGGTGCCTAGAAAAAGGGAGCACCTTTAAAAAGCTCAGTCAATTGCTGGTCTCATCTTAAAGACACACATTGGAGAACTGCTGGTTTTAGGCACTGAGGCCTGAACCCGAGGCTTGAGCGGCTCTAAGTATTGGTAAGAGTAGATTTTACTCTCCCAATATTTTGCCTTTCATTTTTAAAAATGTGACAGTTATTTTTATGAGATTTAAAGATTACTGTACCTTCACATAGCTAAAAAATTATCCTTGTGTTAAAGCTTTGTGAAAGGAGCCTACTCGGTCAAAACCCAGTTTATTAGGATGAAAAAAAAAATAGTGTTCTATTCAGTTCTGCCTATTAAAAAAAATTATTGTAAAGTGACTGCGTACGCCACTCTTGAGTTAACACTTTTGTTTAAATGCTCATCTTAAAATTGAAAGCTCATATGGATTGGATGATCAGATTGTACCATCTGTGAGCACCTTAAGGCCTCATTCACACTGCCGCACATATACGCGCGTACATGCGCGTACGTGCGTATTGTACCATATGCAGCATATGCAAATGAATGGCTCCATACACATAGCTGCATATGGAGCTGTATATTTGCGTGGTGTAAAAATGCGCAAAAACAGAATGGAACAGAGATGCCTCCAAGCAGCGTATTTCTGCGTATTTTACATGCGCATATACACGTGTTTGCACGCCTATAAGCACGTACGCATGTACAGTTCAATAAAATTTCTATTACGAATGATGCATTCTGGGATTGCATATAGTGTACACATATACGCGCGTATATGCGTGTGCATATGCGCGTATATGCGCGCATGTACGCGTATATACGCAATATACAATTTTGCTATTGCGTTGTGTGTGAATGAGGCCTTAATTAGTTCACTCCTGAAAACACTGAGATTACAAACTATCTACCAATAGAACAAAAAACAACTTGTGTCTACAAAATACTGAGCGGCCTAATCTGAAGATTTAGTGCATTCTTGGAATTACCGGCATAAGCGTGTGTATTTGTAGCATTGTCCCCTCTTAGGTTTGTGGTCACGTGTTCATGGACGAGGCTCGGTGTTGAAATGCCTGGGTGATCAGGGTACTTTAATGTTCATTCTTGTATATCACTGCGGCCCTCTCTTTATTCTCACTCTCATGTGGCTGGCAGAAGACAGAATCTTCCATTCACTAATCACAATGGTGACAATTTCAAATATCACCTTTTTACTTTTTGTTTAGTGCATGAGCTTAACAAACAGATTTATGACAACCTGTCACAACTGGGC